AAAAAGGGTGATGTGGCGTGACGTGGCTCCCAGTAGATCTAGTAACACAAAAACTCCGACCGGCTGGAAATCGGTTTGTTCCTTCCTCCTCGCCGGTAGAACGCCGCGTACCTGCAAAAAACTCTCACACCAGAGAGGTTTTCCGGTGAAGAGCCTCCGATGCTTAAGTCAGTGTTTGTTCTACTTAAATCTCAAGAGTAAAAATCGATAAATTGTGTGTAACAAGAAAGCTCACCCTATATATATAGGGGTGAGATACCTGACCTAGAGGCTGCCCAAATTTGATGAGTTGTCGACCCAAAGCTGCCCAGGCCTGCCCGTCCGTACACACACAGTGTGCGTGTGTCAGAGGCAGTTATCGCCATATGCCAATACCTTTACGCCACGTGTCTTCTACACATGGGTAATTATTCCCTTGAATATTCATTGGAAGTTCCCTTAAAAGCTCACGCGCTCCTTGACGCTTAAATAAAACCCCTTATTGCTCTCCTTCTATGAAGTGGTTGATTACTGACTCCTTGCTCGATCCAGTTGATTTTCGAACAGGTCCATCAGATACTCGAGACCAACGTGTATCCCCTACCTAGATTCTTCTCTCCTCTCTCCCGCGGTGTTCGACCACTACCGTCCGGCTCGATAATGTTCGACCAGTGTGGCTTTCTGTAACGCCCCGTTTTATTTTAAAGAATTACCGAATTTATTTATAAAAATCAGAATTTTTTTTTATTTATTTTTTTAATCAATTCAAAATTTTTAACTCAACGGGCGCTACTTATCTATTGACAACATTTAAACAATTATGACACATAGACAAATCCTACACACGTATAAGCCAACATTTATCAAATTGATCCAACTTATTCATGTTTCAACATTATCCAAAATGTTTGACATAAACCATAGTTTCAACAGGAACATAAATAATCCAAATTCAATGGAAGCATTAATAGTCCAAAACGAAAGCAAGTAGTTATTCATAAATACAATCAAGCGGAAGCAACAGACACATCCATTTATGACCACCATCTCGCTCGTCTTTACACCACCGCCTCCAACTCGTCTCAACCTAAAGCAAAGGAAGAGAAGACACAACAAAGAAAAATAATGGGGGTGAGCATAACCAACAAGCTCACCATTATCGCACAATTTATCCCACATAACATTTTAAAACAGTAACACAATATTCAGTATGCATATAATCCAACAGTCTAACTCCGTACTTGGCCCTATTGCAAACCTCCTATGTACATACAATAACCTTCCGGATACAACGGCATGGCTGTAACTGGAAACCTTCCTACCCCTGGGTACAACGGTTCGTAGGATCCTTTCCAGGAGACATCAGAGATGTTTTTCCCCTTCCGGGTATAACGGCTTGGGGCGTCCCTACCGGATACAACGGGCATGCGACCTCCTACTGCTTTTGCATTCACCAAAGGCACTATCGCTCGGAACACTTAGACTAGAGTTCTCATGCATACAATAATTTCAAAAGAAACATTACACGAAATAATAAGTGCGATAAATATGGAATACATCATAAATGTACCCACCTGGTTGCAGCAACAGTTCAAAATCACGAATCTCGAAATGAGGCGAGGTCAACACCTTTAGACATCTACATTAAGTCCAGATACTAAAGTCAACACTTTAATCCAGACCTAAGTAGAAAATTCACAATTTGACTTAGCCGAACTCGATTCGACCAAGTAGTTCGTGAAGTTCTGTAGATATGGAAACACTAGGACTTAGACTCGATCAAACCACATATTCAAGTTCACTGCAAATGTATGTTGTCTTGATGCATCAGTCACGCAGTACACAAACACACACACCTTCAGGAGAGAATAAGTCTTACCTTCCAAGGAATCACTGCACATAAATCGGCCTAGGCAGCGCCTAGGCGCTAGGCGGTGCCCGGGCGCCTCCGATTTGCACAAATCGGCAGAAAAAATCGACCAGATGGCTAGGCGGCGTCTGGGCGGGCATAGGCAGACCTAGACACTCCTAGGTGGGCTCGACGGCAATTTTTTAGTATTTGTTTATTTTATTTTTTTAAATACTAATGTCATTATTTTGTTCTTATTTTTTAATATATATTAATATTATTATTTAGACTTTGGTGTGTGGATTCATTATAAGTTGAGATAATTTTATTTTGTAGGTAGTTAAAATAAATAAAAAATAAGGTACTTAATATTGATTTCTAGGCCCCGACTAGGCGCTAGGTGCTGGTCGAGCGCCTAGCGGGCGCTTAGCGACTTTTAGAACACTGATATTTGATGCTATGAAATCTCAAAATTGCTCCTAGTTATGGTCAAATTGGCTAGATGTACTTCCTATATTTGCCAAAAGGTTTTGCTATTGAAATCAGGAATGGGGAATCCACAAGATTGGATGATGTGAATTGGGTGCCTACTCTGCTGAATTCAAAGCCACAACTTCTGGACGTAGCCAGAGGGCACATCTTATGGGTCAAGGAACTTCTCAATGAAATGGGAATGGTTGGAATACCTGGTTGGTTGAAAAGTTATATAATCCCACAGATAGTGCAGCTATTCTTAAGGTATGCACACTCAAACCAGGGCAACAGGACAGACAATACTGAAAGCTGGACAGGAAAGGTGAATTTTCAGTGTCTAGTACTTATTCTTATTTATCCAGACAGAAACTCCTTACTTTTGATATCCCTGGCAGAAGGGTTAATACAGGTAGTCACCACAACTCTGCATTTTCAAAGTGTTAGAAATTGAAAATCAACGGCAAGGTGAAACACTTTTTTGTGGAAATGCCTTTCTAGGGCTTTACCTAGCAAAACAAATTTGGTTAAAAGGGGACTGGAAGTGGATGTAATTTGTCAAAGCTGTGGGGAGGTTCCTGAAACAGTGGAGCATGTGCTCTTTCATTGCCAAAAAGCTACAAGAGTCTGGGAGATTTCACCTATTACCTGGGCTAGTTTGTCCTCTGTAACCTCTTTCAGGTATTGGTGGAACCACATCTGCACCATGGGATCTTCTCAGCTAGCCAAAGCTCGAATCCAGCTCACAACGTACCTGCTTTGGTGGCTATGGAAGACCCGAAACCTTTGGTTGAGGACAATCCATGCCGGCTCACTTGATCATCAATGTCCAGGAAGAGTGGTTGGAATTTACTCAAATAGCCGGCTTGTAGCAGTTTCACTTTGTTTTCTGTTTATGTTATTTTTCTTTTGAGTTCTATAGTCCCTTTTAGAGTCTTTATAACTCGTTTGTTATGTAATCTCTCTAGGCCTTGGGGCAGTGGAGGTATTTAGTCGAGGTCAGTGTTTCCAATTATTTGTGTTCTAGGCCGCTTTAAGCGTGTCCTCCCAGTTTTTATTTTCGCGTTGTTGTTCGTTATATTCGAACGTTGTTCGCTTCTTTGAGTTAATACTACCACTATCTTTTCNAGAACAACAACAATAACAATATAACTAGAAAAATCAAAACCCCAATATTTCTGTTAGAAATATAGAAAAACCTACATACATTACATACATTACATACATTCCTTAACTTGCCCTAATTGAGGTAAACTTTTGAAATTCCACATTAGCCCCAATTAGATTTGAGTCCGTGTATGTATAATGTATGTATTAAAACTAGCTTTTCTTCTTCCCCACCTTCATCCCTCTTTAACCTCCTTTATGTAATCTTCTCTCTCTCTCTAAACCCCTACTGTCTCTCTCTCCAAATCCTAAATCCATTTCCCAAGCTACTTTCATTTTTCACCCCACCGGAAACTATTGAGATACATACGCCTGGATTCACGTATATACGTAGCATCCATTTGGATTCCGGCTGCCCTTTCAAATCGTTTTTTCTCCGATGAAGCTTCGCCGCCGATCAACCATGACGTAATTTTCCTCTTTCTTTTCCCCCTGTGTGTTTAGGTGTGTGAATCTTCTGGGAGCGACAACCATTTTGTAGTTTTCGTGAGATTCACGCCTCCGCTTTTGACGACCGTTTGTGCCGCCATCCATGGCGTCCACCGCCCCTGCTAAGTCTCAGCCGCTGCACAACTTCACCCTGTCGCATCTCAAGTGGAACAAGGACGCCCAATCGGGCGCCCAGCACCAGCGCCGCCGCTCCGTCAAATCTCCGTCGCGGAGGCCGGCCGCAACCTCCGCCTCCCCTGTCGGTCAGTCACCGCTGAGCGAAACCATCTCGGCGACGCCGCCGCGTCACCAGTCTCCTCTGTGCGACTCGTCGGCGCCGCCGTCCCCACGCGAGTTCCACGTACTCGGTGATTACCTGGGAAGGCAGTGGCTCTTCCCGGCCCGCGACCCCTCGCGGAGGACTCCGGTGGGCCCCGATCCGCCGTTCCAGTTCCGCAGACACGATCTGGCTCCGGAATCCATCGCCTCCGGCAAGGGAAGAGCCGATTCGGCCGACAACCAGAGGTTTCACTGGAAAGACTCGAAGTCAGACGGCGCGAACTCCGAGCGAGGCGCTCCGAATTTTGAGACGAAATCAAAGGCGAAAGAAGCCGACGGGGCTGAAATCAAGAGATCGAAGAAAATCCTCATCAAAATCCCTTTCAGGAAAGACAAAATCGACGACGAAATTGCACAAGAAGAGCAGAAAATCAACGAGAAATTTGAGGATGACGACACTCGCGAGGTGCGAGAAGAAGGGAAGATCGTCAACAGCAACACAGATGAGGAAACCAGGATATGGAACCTGAGGCCCCGAAAGCCAATTCGGGTCTCGCTGAGTGAGAACTGGGGCCCGACGAGGAACCACCGCCCGGCCATGCCCGAGAAGAATAAAGGTCACCCCTCGAGGAACGTCAGCAGCAGATCAGGTGAAAATAGAGACAACGGCCAGAAGAAGGGCGACCGCGAGAAGAAGGAGAAGAGGAAACTGAGTGTTTTTCTCTCTCTAACCAAGGAGGAAATCGAAGAGGATATCTTCTCTTTCACCGGATCGAAGCCCGCAAGAAGGCCCAAGAAGAGAGCGAAAAACGTACAGAAACAAGTAGATGTAAGACAAGATCTAATCCCTAATCTGCTTGAGTCACACCAATTTTTTATGATTAATTCCTTTTTTTCACCCAATTTTCCTTGAATAATCATGTTTAATGATATCATTATTGTGGGATTTGCAGACACTCTATCCTGGGGCGTGGCTGATATCAATAACTGCGGATTCATACAAAGTGTCTGAAAATTCTCTCAAGGTTCTTTTACAGGCTTCATCCCTACAACACGGTCAGATTTGAAATTTCTGTTTTTCCTTTTTTTTTTTTTATGACTAATGGTGCCTTCATATTGCAGGGTTAGACGCAGTCAACTGACCGATGATGATGATTATGCCCAAATAGAAGCTTCCAGGTTTTGTTAATGGCCTAATGAAGGCAATTTATAGGTATAAATTAGTCTCTTTTGTACCTGCAGCTGCAAAGAACGAGAAATGTTCTTTTGTTTATTTAACCAGTTCGATTTTGCCTTTTCTTTTCTCTTTTTTTGAGCTGATCTCAAAGAATTGAGAGATGAAATGTTGGCTCTCTAATTATATGTAGTGGCAGTGGTTGTAAATAAGGATTTCTTTATCTTTCAACGTTTCATTTGAGCACTCATTTAGTCATTTTTGTTGTTTGTACTTTAGATTTTTGTCTGTTTGGCCCTGTTAGACAGAAATTTGTGTTATTTTTTGTATTTGATTACATAAGAGACTTCACCCTGTCCAGTTCCCTTCTCTAATTCCTTTTGTGTTGCTTTTGTTTGTCATTCATTTAGAAAATGGCTAAAAGAAGCATATCATTTTGATGGTCGGTGTCCTCATAACCTCATATGGATTTCTTTGGATATGCTGCATTTTTCTCTGATATATCTCTCTTTCAGACCTGGTTATGCCTTGTGGTATATATATAGAGAAGATTGAAAAGAGGATAGGAAAAAATGTGCGGTTTAAATTCAATCATGGTGGCGCATCAAAATTAGTGGTTGGCTTGACTTTTGGACCAAGGATACGGAAGAAACTTTCAAAGTATATGTTCCAAAAACATTTCCTTCCATAGCAAGTATTCCCTATATAATTTTTAATTGGTGGGCTGTTATTCAGCAAGATTATGTTCCTTATTGCAATGTTAAAATATAAGTATATTTATAATTAGTGCCTTCGAAAATAAGGTTTGATTTGCCAAAGAGAGTTCCAAATAGTGAGTTTTGCTATCAACCAATGACTTTATAATGAAGTCAACCTTCTATACCCACCAAGTAAAAAATACCACAGTTATAATTAAATAAAAAAAAATACAATGAGTAACTACTTGATAAGAAATGAAACAATATTGCAAAAGTGAAAGTAATTATATTATTTAATTTGAAATTGAAAAAATAAATACTGCAATTTTTTTTAATAATAAATAAAATCATTTAAAAATTATTTGAATTATTTTAGTTAAACATTAGAATTAATAATAATATGTACGACTATGTAGTTTATACAATTTGAAAATACAGTATAAACTTTTTGTAGTATTTATTTTTCTTCAAACTTAAATTTAAAATATAATTACTTCTATTTTCGTTGTGGTTGTGTAGTTACTAATTGTAGTTTCTTATTAACTAGTTGTTAACTAGAAATAATATTTTTCTTATTAAGTAGTTGTTAATTGTGTTTTATATTAATTAAAAAATATATTTTTTTACTTGATATGTATAGGAGGTTGGCTCCACTATGGAGCCTACTGTTGGCTCCATAGCAAAACTGTCCAAATAGTACCTGTTATTTGAGAAGATTTGTTGACATTAAAGCAATATAAGACATATATAGTATCAACTTACGAATAATTCAAGAAATAAAAATATTATCTTTTTATTTTACTTAAATATCAGATAAAAATGTAATGGTTAAATATGATGTTATATAGAAATAATAAAATATTTACCAAACGTAATTTAAAGGTAGAAATACATTTTTTGTTGAAAAATACCTGATACAATTATTACTCGGTTAATATAAAATGTAATTTTTTTTTTGTCTTAATTAACCCAAAGAAAAGTGCAAGGAAATATTTTATCACTAATGAGAGAGGGTGTAATAATAATAATAATAATAATAATAATAATAATGGTGGTTTGTAACAGTTACTGGGGGAAGCATGCCACATAGGTAAAATTTATTAGGTTTTATTTATTAAGTTTTATTTAATAATTTAACAGCAATTATATATATATAGATGACGGATCCAATGAGACCACTCCTTAAAATGAGTACGTGAGACTCAATCTTAGCCACTCATTTTGTCTAGATCAAAATCAATTAAAATATACATTAATTAAATAATAAAATAATTATTAGTTGACTCCGGCATTGACCATTGACTCCGGCGTTGACCGTTGACTTTCGGCGAGAATCGTTGACTTCCGGCGTTGACCCGTTGCATTGAAATAAATAACCTAGCAACAAAAGACACTCAACCTTGAGTGGTGTAGTGGTTGCATTGCTTGTCTTGCTTCCATGAGGTATCAGGTTCAAATCTTATAGGTTACAATATTTTTATAAAAAAAAAATACAACTAACTTAGCAGCATCAGACAACTAACCTAGCAACAAAACACAAACCTAGCAACAAAACACAATTAACCTAGCAGCAAGAAAGAACAACTAAACTAACAACAAAACACAACTAACAACTAACCTAGCAACAAAACACAACTAAAACAACTAAACTAACAACAAAACACAACTAACAACTAACCTAGCAACAGAACATAAACCTAGCAACAAAACACAATTAACCTAGCAGCAAGAAAGAACAACTAAACTAACAACAAAACACAACTAACACCTAACCTAACAACAAAACACAACTAACTTAGCAGCATCAGACAACCTAGCAGCATCAGACTAGATAATCCTAAATGCTCTCACATCTCTCTACCTTTCTCTCTCTAGGATTTTCCTTTTCCTTTTCCACCATCCGCCACCACACCGCCTCCCCCTCAGCCACCACCCCTGACTAGCCGCCACCACCGGCCGCCGGGCCTTCTTTTTCATTTTGTCAATTCCCTTTTTCGATTTTTCGCCCAGCCCCAGTCATACCTCCAAATCATCCCACCTTTCCAATTCTTTCGTCTCCGCTATCCCAAGCTCCGGCTAGCCCCACACCTGAGCTCTGCAACCTGTTTTCGAGACCAGATTTCTAAAAAGTCATGATGGATTTTATTGGGAAAAACTATTGTTTGGAAGAAGGAGAAATCCCTTCCGCGAACAAGATCTCGAATTATCAAGTCACCGTAAATGAAGAGCCAAATCCCCGGTCGGATGGAAGCCAATGTCCGATGGTGTTTGGGACCTTGCAGTCAGCTGCAGTTCAGCGTGGTCCAATTATTGAAGGAGCTACAGGAAACCCTTCCTCTCAGCTGCGTATCGATGGGGCCCCAATCCCGACCGTCCATTTGGCAAAGTAGCTTCCTCTCAAAACTGAGCCCATTCCCAGGCCCAAGTCTTGCCCTCATTTGGACCGCCTTCATCTAGTTGGGCTGAAACCATTCTCCCAGCCCATACTAACTCGGCCTCTCTCTCAGCCCACTCTGGGCCTACCTCTTTTTTGAACCTTCTCAGCCCAACTCTCAAACCTCACAGCCCACCTGTCCATCTCACATCATACCTCGGCCCGTAAGCCCCCATCCCGTTTCAAACCAACCCGTCCCAAAACCCGTTACCCACAAACAGCAACCTGCCATCATCCCACAACCGACAGGCGCCGATCACTTGCCCTTGCGCCGGCGCCGGACCCGTCACGGTCACCGGAACATCTCAGCCGACCGGAACCTCAACCAGGAATGTCTCGGAATTGATTTTTACGGCCGGAATTCTCGGCTTTGCCCCAATTTCAACTACTCCAACCGATCAAATCGCCGGAATAAACACTGCTGATGCCGAAGAATCTGCACCAGCTACTTTGTTTGTGAGTGAAGATGGAGTGGTTGTAGCGGGCCTAAACACGAAGGCCGCAACTCATCTTCCCGGGAATTCCCTGGCCGAGACACCACCGACGACCACCTCCACGGTCAAACATGCTACCGCTGGGCCACCACCACATGCGGGCACCTCCACTGGCCCGCTCTCTTTCCGAGATGCTATTATGGGCAAAAAACATGGCGACACGGGCGCCCCGCGGCCAACGGCCAAAGAATTCACCTTTGACGGGAACTATGAGCACGCTTGCGGGACCATTATCCGCTTGAAGGGAAACAAGGTGAAGGCCCGATACACTGAAGCCGAATCTGTCGCTCTTGCCGGTAAGTTATCTAACACCCTGGTTTTTAAGTTTTCCTATGCTATCCCTGCCCCCCGAGACATATTTGCTGGACTAGGCAAATTGGATTTTAAGGGTAGAGTATCATCTAAGTGGTACAATTTCAACCACCTCCTAGTCTCTTTCCACCTCCCCGAGGACTATAACGAGGTCTGGCTTAAGACCTCGATTCATTTGTGTGGATGCCCAGCTAGGGTGTTCAAGTATAATGCCGAGTTCTAACCCGAAGACGGAGACGCCGGTTGTCCCCGTCTAGTGTCGTCTTCCCGGCCTCCCTCCCCATCTTTACGACCGTGCTGTCATCACTACGCTTGCTAAGTGTATTGGACAGCCAATTCGTATTGACGCCTCGATGGCCCTTCAAACGAGGGCTAACGTGGCACGATTTTGCGTAGAAATAGATCTCAGAGTTGAGCCCGTCCATGAGATTGAGATTGAACAGGGCTCAGAGACCCTTGTTCAGCGGGTGATCTATGAAAAGATCCCCGCTTTCTGCACCTTGTGCAGCCATGTGGGACATATCGCGGCTGATTGCTACACTAGTGGCAATAAGCCACGGCCCACACTTCCGCAGCGCCATCGTGCGGCTCAGCCAGGGCCCTCCACCGGCAGGAGGGACCCCAAGGGAAAGGGCAAAATCTCTCTCCGTGCGCCCGAGACCCCTTAAGGATAAGGGCAAGGCTGTGGTTGACGCCACTGCCCAAACTGGAAAGGATGCTCTCCTTAACCAGACTAAGCAGTTGGCCATAGTTGGGCCAAAGCCCAAGTCTACGGGTTTTCTTCCTAGTCAGACCCTCCAGTCGGCTTTCAAGGCCAACCACTCGTATTTCGCTATTCTCTCCCCTCAGGCAGAGAATGAGGCCGCGCCTTCCACCAATGGCCCATCTAGGATTACTGACCTCACGCTTTTTGACGATGACGACCTCCTTGTCGATGATATGGACCAGCCGGATGCCTCGCCCAGGGGCGAGTCCACCCATTTACCCGATGATAGTGCGCGCGATGCCGGTCCTTTGACTGTGCGCGTATCTAGCTGTTGGTAATATTTTTGGGCAAGTAATAACCGAGTTACCCGACTCGGGTCGTTCTCTAAGGAAGGTTAGCCGGATTAAATTGTATGTTTATTCAATTCACAAAAGAGAAAATATTCCTAAACATTCTAATTCAATTTAATAATGGGGTTTTAAACTAAATTAAAAGTAACATAAATGCTATCACTTTACTCTGAAAACCTTTCAAATGATAAAGTCGTTTTACTAGTAAATACTTTCTAACGATAAAATCGTTTTACTCGTAAATACTTTCAAACTAAAATTTGTTCTACTAGTAAAAACTTTCAAACAAATAAATTGTTCTACTAGTTAAATACTTTCAAACTATAAGTTGTTCTACTAGTAAAAACTTTCAAACAAATAAATTGTTCTACTAGTTAAATACTTTCAAACTATAAAGTTTTAAGGAAGAAAAGAGAATAACTAAAATGACAAAGATAAGTTTTAATAAATGTAAAAGTCTAGGGTATTGGGGATAATCAATTCCGGTTTTATTAACATTTATCGGTAATTAAATTACTCAGTTAAACGATTCACTTAATTTACTCATCTAGAGGTTTATCCGTACTAACTCTCGTAATAT